AAAGATCAACCCACAAATCCACAGATGTTTCTGTGTGCGCTTCAAAGGAATGTGGAACTTGCTAAAATGGGAAGACCATAGCATGTGGCAACCAACAACAGCATGGTCTTTGAATCTGATTCCTTTTCCCTGCAGACTGGATTCCCTCCAGAAGTGCCTGTTATCCTCATTAGGACAGAATTACCACTTCTTCCATGGCCAACCAGCCACACACACTGGATCTCCTTTTGGATGTCAAACACAGGAGAAAAGCAGGGGTAGCTTTAGATGATATATTTACTTCTTGTCAAGGCTGGGGGATATTGCTTTTAAAAGAGCAGAACTCTTTGCTGATACAGCCAAAGTCTCCAGGAATTGTCAAGGTAGACACTTTAAAAAACTGCATGTCTTCTGACAACAAAAAACAGAAGCTTTCTGTGGGAACACGGCAGTCAAAAAGTCTATTCAGCCCTTACTTTGGGGACAGCATTAAGGGCAGGTCAAGGATAATGAGCTGTGATTGTAAGAGTCGTGTGTAAGAGAAAGAGGTGGCAATGTGTCATTTCAATCAGGGGAGAGTGAGTGGGAAGGGTATTTGTCCTGTGTCCTCTCAGGAAGAAATCTGTTTCCTCCTGCAGCACTGTCATCGCCTCACACCAGTTATTGGTCTGAACTGGCAGGTTCTGCTCTTCTTTCTGGACCTCTAGAGAGGGGTAAGAGCCCACTGTAGCTTTTGTGCTGTCAGCAGACTGGGCATTGCAATGTGGTGAAATAAAAGCCATCAGCAATTAAGCAGAATATTCACGACAGTGATTGAAGATGACTTTATTTCTTGCTGCCTTTGTTTAAAGAATGTCCTTTCCATACACTCATAATGTATACGACAAATGACTCCATAGCTGTGGGGGAAATACATAATGCTCTCCAATCCAAGGTTGACCACCAAATGATTAAAGCAGTGTTGTTTAAGGTTATTCCCAGGAAGGATTTGCTAGCTTCTTTGGGCAATTTTACCAACTTATGTTATATCTGCAACTGAAAAACTTTTTAACCTCATATCTGAACTCATGTGTGTCTGCATATGTAAACATATCTATGTATAAGTAATTTAAAATGTTAATTTTATTTTAATGTCTTTCTGACAAAGAAATTACTATGGAAACAGGCAGGAGCAAAGGTAAGTGAGCACACATTTGTTTTAGCATGAGCAACCCATTCTCTTTCATTGCAAAAATTTGAAGCTTTTGGCTAAATAAATTTTGAGAAAGGTTAGGGTATTTCTATTTTTTTTTTCCCCTGGGAAGGAAGGAAGCACCAACAGGTGTGATCTGTCAGTGGAAATAAAAAAACAAACAAACCAGACAAAAACCTAATCAAAACCCTCCCTAATGCAACAGGTTGGAAGACATTGATCTCAATAGAAAAGAGACCGTCACTGGTTGAAATCTCTCCCAGGAATGTTCTCCCGTGGATTTTGTAAAGGATTAATTTGAATAGAAATTTTTAAGAAATTATCTGACAATCTGAAAATTTAGCTTTTTCAAACAGCTTTCCAGGACTGCTAGCCTGTTTGAGGTATATGCTCTCCTTTAAAATAAAATTCCAGTTATTTTAAAACAGAGCAGAACTAAAAGCACTACAGACAATCAACAGATCTGATTACAAATTTAATGGCCCGATTCACCCTTGCTCTCCTTCAATTTTGGAGCAGTGTGAATCCAGTGCTTTTTATGTTCTCACCCCAGACACAATCTGGACTAGCACAGCAAGAAACAAGTTTCTGGGAGCTTAAGCTTGTTCCGCTTTATTTGGGTTTTTTTTTCTGTTTTTTGTTGTTTTTTTTTGAGAGCAGCTGTCTTTGAGATTTGTGATCTTTTCTAAAAGCATGACCATAGTGATCATAAGGGCTTGGTGAATTTATTAACTCTACTTGATTAAATCCTCCTTTGACTCCATTTTGAAAGAATTAGTTCCGGAACACAGATTTAGATCTCCTGTACTATGTATTTGCCAGATGCATGGTGAACTTTATAAGCACTTCTATTGCTTTGGACTCCAAAAAATAATATCAGAATATGTAGTGTAAACCATGAAACCCAGAAGTTAAAGATCATTAATATTTCATGGTCCAGGCCCTGAATTCTGGAAATGGATGATCCAATGGTACCTACCTTCCCTTGCAGTCCAGGAATAAATGTGTGACCCTGGCTTGACAGGTGGTATTTTGAGGGATCCAAAAGTGGTTATGTGTTATACCTGAACAGTGTTTTCCTTACTAAAAAACCTTTGATGAAGTAGGTTGTATTTTAATCACAGCATCAGATATTTCTGAAAAGCGATGAAGCTTATTAGATCTCCAATGCAATGACATCTAAAGGCTGAACGTTTAGCTCAGGAAAAAAAACAACCTGAACTTCTAAATTGTGGAAATTATATTTTCATCATCTACTTAGCTATTAGCAATGATTATATTATTTCTTTTGTTTAAATATAACCAAAAATATCCTCTCCTTCTCTCTCCTTTTATGAGTTGTTTTTTCTTTTTTCCCACAGAAATCATTAAGTTAATCCTTGATAATCCAAGAAAAAAAAAAAAAATTAGAGGCAGTAGTTCAAGCTCTTCTGTGTGTGTTCAGCAAAATGTGATACAACTCCACCTTTAAAACTCTTGGGTTTCTATCCAAATTCTAATAAATACTATATGATGTATAAACTCATAAATGTTCACAGCACACAAATGGGCTGCCTCTGGAAATTACATGGCTTGAGCACAGCGTGATTAGATGTAAAGGAAAGGAAAGAATTTGTTATGACATTTCAAAGCTTCTTATAGCACAGTACCTTCAACTACACTTGCCAGCCTGTTACCACAGGGCTGCAGATTGTTGTTTAAAAGGCTTATAAAGGTTTTTCTTTCCTAAAAAGAATGATGAAATTAAACATTGTCATTTAAAAATCTTTTTAAAACAGGGTTCTTATCTTCTCCCATTCAGTAGCAGCTCCTGATTTAGGGAAGTGAAGAGAATGTGCATGATTAGCTAATGTCATATGATATCCTGAATGACACCATGTAGTGATTAAGACACTTGGATTTTTCTCAACTTATACTTTAGTGCTATATAGAGGTGTTAAAATGACCACTCTGGAAGCTGAAGTCTCCTCTTTGCTCAGCAGTGGACAGAAGACAGGATAATCCTGTCTTGGCTTCATTCAGGTTGGTTTCAGCTGCTGTTTGTTTTCCAATCAACCAAAGCTTGCAGCAAGGATTTCTCAGGACAATTTAAAAATTAGATTAAAAATGGAAGACCCCTGGTATCTTTTATGTAGGAATGCATTGTCAGTAGATTTTCTTTCTTGAATTCATGGTAATTCGTGGTAATTCATAATAATTCATGGTAATTCATAGTGAAAAATTACATTTTTTTACTTTCATAATTTCATGAATTTGTAGGAATCTAGAGACAGAGACTCATTTTCTAATAATCTTTAAATTTAACTTCATTGTTTACCTGCTTTCTAGCTAGCAATGCACCTTATAACATGCAAAGACTTGCAGACTGGTTTTGCTGTGAAAGTGTATTTGAGAAGAGACTGAGAACTGTTTCCACAAGTGAAAAAACTGATTTACACTTAAACAAACCGTTTCTTCAGAAAGGAAGTTTACCTAGGGTAAATGCTGAGTGGGAATGTTCTTTGAAAGGATGTTAATTGTACCTTGCTTCAAAGAACTCCTTGAAATTCCTGTAATGCAATTATGCTAAGTTAGAGGAAGTTAAAGGATTGTGTATTGGCAAAAATGCAGTTAAAATCCCAGTTGAAGTCATGTGTCAGAAGTGCTATTGATGATAACATTGACACCTGCCTCAGATAACTTCAAAGCCTCTGCTCTCTGTATGAACCTAAGTTCACTGAGCTCAGCTCGCAAAAGGACAAACCCAGACAGAGAAACTGGTCCAGACCTCCAAGAAGTGCAAATGGAGCTGTGCCACTTAACAACAGCACATCAAACCCCAGCTCAGCACCTTTTAACACAGAGGATACAATGGTGCGCTCTGCCAAATGAAACCCAACATCTGTAGACCTACAGCTGCTCATCACAGACAGAAAGGGATCTCTGTGACTATCTGCTTTCTCCATGCTGGTGGGAAAAATGAGATTGCTCTGTGTGAGTTTCTGAGGAAAGACAGAGCCTAAAAGACATGTTCCACATTGGATTCTGAAAGCACTGAGGTTCTAAGGTTTCTGATTCTTCTGGGCGTGAGTTCCACCTTTGTAGGGGGCCATCTTCAGACAGAATGATGGCAGGGTTTTTTTTCTGCTCCACAAAGTACTTCAGAAATAATAAAGTCTGAACTGATGAATGCACCCAGAACTTAACTTTGGCAGTAAAACTCATTGCTCTGTGTATCACCCAGGCTTTTGTAAACTGCTGTTTAGCAAAAATATTTGTGCATTTTGAGTCTGCCTTGAAAATTTCTCTGCTTTCAAACATAAATATCATATTTTATTAACTGCTGCTCTGTTTGCCCAGTTCTGTGGAATAACAAGCTAGAGATGAGAAGCTCTAAGATCACACACCCTGTTGGGATTTGGCTGTTTTGTTTATGTATTTGAAATAAGAGTGGCTTAGCAGAAGTCCAAACAATAGAAATATTAATAAATACATTATAAATACATTATAAACATTTTTAGGTTAATAATCCCTTTTTAAGGGATTTCAGATTTTAAAAATAAGGTGGGAAAGGGCTAGATTTTTCTGCCCAAAGCACTTCTAATTATTTGGTTCAATGTCTGCTCTGTCACAGAGGCTCTGGTCCTTTGGTTTCCCCCTCTGCACACAAATTGAAACATTCAGTAGTTTCCACCTCAGTCACGACCATATTTTCCTTTTTTTGAGGAAATCAGGAATAGGAAAATTGCAGAGCAGTCTGGGTCTTCCCCAATTTGGAGTTCCCCTGCAGATGAGGAACATAACAAGATCTGGGACTACAGAGCTCTTCTAGCTTCTTTAGCAGAGATACATCTATCCCAGACCCTCAAATGTTAAGGGACCCAAATCTTCACTCTCTAAATTCAGTCTCTTATTGCTACTCTCCTCAGCACTGAGTTCTGTCCATAACACAACTTAAAGAGTAAGAGTCATGGACTTCATGTGAGGAAATAATGGAGGATTTCAGAATTTAGAATTTTGCAAGTGAAAATACTCCTCCCTGGTCATATGGTCTTGCTGTGTACACACACCAGAGGTGCTTCTGATCTGTTATTCAAATGAATTCTCAATGAAAAAATATGCATGTGTAGCGAAGAGGAGAAAAAATACCATAAATGCTCCTATACTGGAACAGAAAAATATGGAGTCATAGAATGATGACAAAAATAGATTAATTTTTTTATGTAGTGCACTGCGGTTAATCCTTGTGCTCACAGTATACTTTATTTAGAACCACTGCAGAATTCGTCCTCTGATTTTTCTCCCTGAAATTAGACTGTAGTGATATGCTTCAGACTTCAGAGGAGCCTAAAGGTATTTGATTTAATTTATATCTATGAGTTTTGTGCCTTGTTCATTTATTTTAATCACTGTTGGTTTTCTCTCCCTTTGACTATCCTAGATTTTTGTTCTGATACATCATTGGTTATTCTGATATAAACAGTTCTCCACTGAATTCAGGTTTCCAAAATTTCAAAGTATAACAATCTCATTTGAGAATGAGTATCATTAAAAGGAGCTGTGTGATTATGCTATCTCAGAAGCGGGATGTACAGTTATAATGTTTCTATAAGGTTTATGGTGGTAATCCTCATGCTAGCACCTGAGTTTTTAATGAGATTTTGAACTTAGTATTTTTAGATACAATTATTATTATAAAGAATATGTAAATATTTGTAAGTATTACAATGTGTTAGGATGCTGGGGGTATTTTGTTAAATATTCAAATGCGTTATTTCATAATGTATTTAAACTTAAATATTTCACTGTTGTATGAAAAAATGTTTGGATATTATATCTTAAAAAAATAAAGTGGTTCATGCCAATTGCAAGAAAAAATAGACTAGCATATTCCACAATTTGAAGCTGACATCCATTTGTATTTACTTACTCAGTTATCACTTTTCAGCATGCAATTACATTAATATTTTTAGATGTTGGATGGGTTGACATTTTGTTCCAACCCTAGACAGCCAACTATGCCTTCAGATGGGTCTCTGCCAGCTAAAAATACAGTCCTAGATAAGAACATACAACCTCCACATTAATATTAGTGACACCCAGAAACAGATTGCTGAGCCGAAAAAATTAACTCCAAAGGATTCAGTGGCTTGTCCATTACTGCGTTAGGTCCTAGCCTGAATATATGCAAGAGTAGAAAGCTGAGCAGCCTGCATGTCTGAGGGTTAATGGCTACTTTCACTGGAGAAATGTGGTCTGGCACAATGCTGCAGCTCCTAGCAATTTAGGAGCATAGCATACAGGGGAGAAAGGAGTGTCTGGGTCATGGAAACAGATCCTCACACAATGGTGCTTTCCACAGACACTGCCATAAAACAATATCTTTAGTTACTGTTTACAACTGTTGGTTTCCTTGAAGCTTACACTATCAGAAGGCTACTCCAGACTGTGACTTGTACAAAGTGAGTAAACTTTTAATTTAAAAATTAATTTATCATCAGTGAGTCACAGTCTTGTCTTAAATTCTGTGCTGGTATGTCTAGCATGGCAATGCAAGTTGATTTACCTCTTCACAAAGAAACAGAGTAGAGGCTTCCCTAGCAGATGGACAAAAAACTGAATCTTGCAAGAACAGAGTGAATACATAAACTGCTGGTCACCTGTGGACAATCTCTGTAATCTAAGTTTTGAATCTCACTCTGCATGAGATGAATCAGTTTTTTGATGACAAATAAAAGCCTTTTCTGCATTGGTGGGATTTATGATTTCCTTTTCAATAAGTAGAGGGACATTTTATTCTTTTGCACACCAAACTCTTAACATTAGACAGCGTTCTAGATGCCTTACTAATTGAGAATTCAAAGACTGTAGGGGACATGGCTGTCTTGCAGAAAGGAGACTTAGAAAAAGAAAGGTTAAGATTTTAAGTATTTTTCTCCCTGTTTTTCTCTTTATGTTACATTTGCATGTTCCACTCACATAAGTCATAAAATTGCAGGAGTATATTTTAGCCACAACAGACAGTTTGTTTTAGGGTTTTCCATCTCCCTGTGTCTCTGCTTAAACCATCTATCCTGACATAGGTGAACCTGTATTTGTTGTGCCAATACTGGTGAACCAGTCTTGCCCGTATTTTTGTACTCTGCACACAGAGAGTAACGTCCTGTGGGCAGAAGATGCTTTTGGGAATGCTTTAGCCCTGGCAGTCAAAGGTTTCACCAACATTGCTTCACTGAGGACAGAAAATTCAACAGTAGCTGAATTGCAGAGTTCCCAGTAGACCATTTTATTCTGAGTCTAGGGTGTGAGAACTTTTGCTTTTAAATCACTGTGCTATGTAGTTAGAGCAAAAGATGTTATAAAAGCAGCATTTACTTATCTGGATTCCTTGAATTTCTCTTCCACTCTTTATAATGGGCTAATCTGGTGCTCAGAAAAATGTGAAAAAGCCTTTTAGAGAAAGCAGTAGAAAGATATTTTATGTTCCTTTACTGATTACTTTTCCTTGATGCTAGGAAACAATTATTTTAAGTGGATTACTTCCAAAGAATAACTTAATTTGATAATAAAACAAATACTACTTTCCCATTTATTGATGAATCAAGCAAGGTAATTGGATTTATTACTTTTGAATCTATGAGTAATCCTGTTTCAAAATCACATGTGTGTTTCCTCCTCTGCTTTTATGTTTGTCAGGAGATGACAATTATTTATTCATTCTCTTTCTGGCAGAATTATTTTTTTTTTTTTTTTTAATCTGGACAACAAGAGTTTTATGCATAGTTTCTGAACTCAAAATAGAGCTAATTTATACTTAACACAATGTACATCCTTGATGGAGAAAAGTGAGTTTCAGTCATTCTGAGCAGCTAAAAATACTAGTTAATTAAAACAGATCTTGCATTAATACCTACAATATGCACATTAACTGGTGAATAGATATAACATTGTTATGATGCTGTTTTGTACTACTGAATGTCAGGGTCCTGGAAGCTGAGAGACCCTTTGGACATGTATCCTGGTACATGGTATGGTCTTTGGGCTGATATGTAGGAGATGCCTTTGATAGACATATACAGCTAAGCTGGGGAGTGGCCATGCTGAGTGTTATTGACAATTCTCCTTCCTCTGCTTTTTAGCTTTATCCTACAAATCCACCATGCTGAGTCTTTAGAAGATTATAGATTATTTTAGACATAACAAAATAATGGAAGATTTTTCAGCTAACTGAATAGTCAAGTATTGGTTTTTTTTAGTAGTTAATCTAGCAGCATTTAAGAATTTCTTTCACTTGAAGATCTCACATCAGTTCGCAAATATTAAGTAAACTTCTTAGAATCTGTACTTAAATTCTTAATTTGTTTTACAGGGATTGTTAAATCTACAATGGTCAACCAGTATAGCTATACCCATTCACACCAGCACGTTTCTGAAGTGGAAATGAAGCTTCCATAAGAAAAAATGTTCCTCTTTCATTAGAGAATAAAATCTGTTCTTTGAAGAACTAAGTCTCCATATTCTGGTTTAAAGTATGATTTCTTTTAATTCTCCTGTTCCACTCAGTAATGCTAGCAAAACTTTTAAGAGAAGATCAGATCATGAGTTGGAGGTGGTCAAGAAACTCATTCAAACTCAGATTATTTTCTTCTGTAAAGGACAAACAACCCATGTGCTTGAAATACATGACTATATTGATGGGATTCATTGATCAGCATAGGCCTTTGGTCCATTTGATAAAGATAGAAATCTGTTACATTCCCAGCTCCATCACCTTTACTCTCTGCCTAAGTGTTGTCCCCTTGCCTGATAAAGTGTTGTTTAAAAAGGGACTTCCAGAGCTGAACAAACCCACCTGCAGAGCTTGAATTGAAGAGCCAGCTTCTGTCATGTGGAACCACAACAAAATTGCATCTGCTGCAAAGCACACAGTTCTGTTAGCTATCATGGTTTTACTATGCATCTGATAATATTTAGACCTTTCTCCTGGTCATGTTCTTTAACAGTAGTAGGCAATGAAGGATAATGATTCACTTGGGAGTTTCCAGGGTTTCCAGGCTACCAAGCCCCACTGTGGTTTTCAGTTGAAACATTTCAATCCACCTTTTCCATTTTTCAATGTCATTTGAATCCATTGCTGCATTTATTTTTCTTTCAAATGAGAGCAGAATGTGGTGTTTGAACTGAAATACATTCTTGAGTGGAATAGAAGAAGGGGGAAGGATAGACATGTTATTTGTTAGCAAAAACATACTATGGGCTTTGTGGTACTGTGGCAAAGTTTGCTCCTGGTGAGTCTACTAAAAGACCCAAACCCCATATACCCATTTCCCTGATTCCTACCACATTTTTCTCTGTGCCTCCTTCTATGAGATGACAGAAAAAGCCAGATCTTTTGGACTAATGTAATATACTCTTTCCTCCTCAGTAGTTTCTGTCTCCCCTCATTGCTCCCAGAAAGGGAGGGACTATTAATGACTGTTTCAGGGCATTGGAGGGCTTTCTCACCTCACTTCCAATGCATTCCTTGCCTCCGGTCACCCAGGAAGAATCTGCTGTGTTTGATTTCTGTCTCAGGTCACTTGTCTCACAGCTACGTGCCAGGTCAGTGCCAGTGAGCAGTCCTGCATGGCAGAGCTTTGTTATACAGGCTGGTTGGTCAAGTTTCACACGCACAAAAGGAGTCGGTGTAAAGACAAAAAGAGACAGCATGTGTTTCAGTGCCAGTAATGAATAAACTACCACATCAACTGCACAGCATGAACATCTTTATCCAGCTGTGTTTATAAATTATTTTCATTAATTATGGTTGTTCCTATCACTTGACACAAACAAGGACTTTTTTTTTAAGTGGCCGTTTTATTAATCCATTATTCTTCTGAGGAATAATATCTGCCCGCCCCTCCCTGCCTTTAACTGGCCAGAGATACATCACTTTCAAAAATAAATCTCCAAATGCAGCCCTGCAAACTACTGCTCTTTGGTTCATCACTTATGAAAGAGGATACCTTTTTCTTCTGTCCACCATGAATTAAAATAAAATTGCTTATAATCTATCTTTGAAAACCCTGTGGTCAAATTTATGCCTGGCATCACAGAGCAGGAAACAGCATAATTGCACAGTGGATGAACTCAGTCTCAAGAGTTTAGTTGTGCTTTGAAAGCTTTTTGATGTATTGTTGTACTTTTATTTATATTAATTTTTTTTTTATTTTGTTTTGCTTTTTTTAATACTAAGGCTGTTTAGGAGCTGTGTTAGTAACCTGAGCTTTCTAATACTGACTCTAACCGGAGCAGAACCCTAATAAAGCTAAAGGCATTTTAGCCTTTGTTTCAAAGATTACAGTGCAAAACCAGCAAAAAATAGTTATTTTTCAGATATGCATTTTGAGACATTGGAAATACTTCTGCATTTTTGACTACAGAGAAGCTTTTGAATTCAGACAAATGCATTTCACACAATTCATTTCAGGGCTGATTCATTTTATCTGTGTGTCTCCTGTGCCAAGTGGAAACATTAGGCCTCTTTAAAAAATGATGGGGGATAATAAATGCTCCAGGCATTTGTTTTGCTGAAATGAAGTAATGGCAGGGAAGCATATGGTGAAATATATTTTTAATTACTTTTCAACAATGTTAAATGTTTTTTCCTTATTTTCATATTTAATGTTCTTGATCAAGCTTGCTAAATAGGCAGCTCTTATGGAACACACTACTTTGTGCAATAACACATGACTAATTTTATGGGCAGTACTGTATATCCCTGTGTATCAACACTGTATTACTGTAGAACTTTGTTTATGATGCTTTGTGCCATGCAAGGAAGCTGGGATTGTGAGGGGGCTGTTTTGTTCCTGTTTCATTTTTTTCCCCACTAAGGTCACAGCTCTCAAAACCTTTGTTGAGAGGGTTTGTTTTCTTACATTTTTGTTTGTGCATGCAGAGCAGGAAATATGATTCTCTTCTGTTAGACTAAACAAAAGGAAATCCACCTGAGACTGAGAGGAGACACCAGTCTCTCTTTGAACAACTTCACTTCTAAATCACTCTTCTATCCTCTTCCTTCATCTCCCTCCCTGTAGCACAGGTTCCACACCAAAGCTAAGTGAACAAAAGACACCTGTTCCCATCCCTGCTAAAGAGAGAAAAGCTGCTAGTGCCTAAAGGCTAAAGCTGAGCTGAAAGTGTTTTGGCTACAGGTGGTGTCTAGGCTGTAGATACACCTGCACAAGGGAAACATGAACCTATTGCACAATTCCATTAAATAACAACTGAAAAGTAAGTGACATCACAGGAGGATGGCAGAGGGAAACCAAGGCACAGCTGTCACCACTTGCCTGCACATATATGTCACCTTTTTGGGATGTGCACAAAGGTTCTTTCAATGCAAAATAGAAAGACAAAGTAAGAAAACCTGGCAATTTGCTGTCAACACTTACAGCAGGCGACCACATTCTCCCCTCACTTGTTACAGAGCTGGCACAAATTCTTTTTTCTGAAGGCGTCACGGTCATCACTGATATGAGCAGAGTAATGCTTCTTGTAGCACACCCTGGAGATCAACAGTCCCAGGCTGTTTCAGTCCAGTAAGTACTTTCCAGAGATGAGAACTCCTCACAGAGAAGTCTCTGTGACCATCATCCTCTTTCTCAGCTTGAGTGCCTTTTCTTCCTGTAGCCCTGGCAGTGTGGCAGATAGGAGTTGGGATGTCTCTCTCGCATGTCCAGCACTTCCTTGCTCGCTGCTAGTGATTCAGGGGATTAAAGCAGCAGGATATAAAGCAACAGATGGGGATTTCATTCATTCTCTCTGCTTTGAAAACTGACTCTGAGGAATATATCCATTATTATTATTGTGACCTTCAGTACACTGCATGCAGATTTCAGTTTGAGATGGGATATCTATGGGTCTGAGGCAGTGGCCAACACTGTGGAGAGAAACACTGTGCTGATAGCTTATCCACATTATTCAAGAAAAAAAACCCAGTTTGTAGCAAAGGTCAGAGCACTGAACTCATAAAAAAAATGCCCCTTTTTCTTCATCCCTTCCCCTTCTCACTGGAATCCAGTGCCAAGGAGCAGAAGTAGACTGGGTGGGAGAAGGAGAAGTGAAGCCCAAGTATTTCTCTTGTGATGACATCTCAGACCTGCCCCTGGTACTGGGAAAAAAGCCAACAAACAGAAAAGAGAAGCAAGAAGTTGCCTGAGGGAGAAGCAAGGCCATGGCAGTCAATGGCTGGTCTCCTACTCTGCCTGAATCCATGGAGGAGAAACCAGCCAGGTCTGGGACTGCTGGTGTGACTTTTGGGACACACTTCTGTGGCGGAAGAGAGAACCACAGCCTTTCAACCTTGGAGCAGTGGGGCAACCTTGTGTGGGTGGTCTCCAAGAGGGAGGAGAGGATTTCCCATAGTTCTTTCTCTTCCTACGTGGCTTGATAGAGGGCTTCCTGGGCAAGCTCAGGGTTTCAGCCTCAGGATATGGAATGAAAGAAACAGCCTCCAGAAATGGTATCATTCTTGTTTTAACAGATACCAAAGGAAAGATTAGTCCCAGGGAAGCTTTTGCTTCTGGGAGTCATATCATGGCAGTGCTGTGAAGCTCTCAGAACCTGGATGTGGGGGACAACATTATCTTTTCCAGGGTCTTCACTTTTAATCTTCACAGGTAAAGAATTGGGTCAGTTGTGCATGGCCAGAGACAGCAGTCTCCCTTGCACTTTAGCTTGGATACTGGAGATAACACTTCCTATAAATCAAGACAGCCTGTAAAAAAAATGACAAAAGCTGTGAAGTTCAGCTTGCCAGGAAACTGTTATTGTGCATGTGTATTTGTTTTAGGGAAAAAAATAGATTTAATATCCACATCCCGTTTTGTCAATCTTTTAAAACCCCTGACAGGGATGTGAATGTTATTCAAGATCTATTACATGTCATGATGATAATTTGTTTCTTTTGAAGAGTGTGATGTCTAAGTCGTTTTTGATGATTACATTTCCTTGGTCTGTATTTATTCGAAAGGCACTTTTCAGACCTTATTCAGAGAATTGTTTCCAAACAGTATGCGTAAATGATTAGTAGCGCTTTCAGTCATGCTGTTTGATACCTTTTCCCTTTAGATATTAGTCTAGATGTGAAGACTATGCCCTACCTGGTGCATAAAGAACAGATCTTAAATGTTGCAGCAGCCGAAAGGTTTGGAATGATTTAAAGGTAAAACCAGTCACTTCCCATAGAATCATAAAATCATAGAATGGTTTGAGTTGGAAGGGATCTTAAAGATCATCTAGTTCCAGCCCCCCTGGCATAGGCTGGGACACTTTCCACTAGACCAGGTTGCTCAGAGTTCCATCCAACCTGGCTTTGAACCCTTCCAGGGGTGGAACATTCACAATTTCTCTGTAAGGTCTCATGGTAATCTTCTCTTTTCCAGGCTGAATAGCCCCAGCACTCTCAGCCTGTTATTACAGGAGAGGTGTTCTAGTCCTCTGACCATATTAATGGACTTTTTCCAGCAG